GTCCCCGCACCGGTCCACCGAAAACTGCTCTTCAATGACGTTGAATCCGGTCTAAGGAAGGACGAACTCGCTTTCAGAGTCATCCACCTCTGGGAAGCTAGAAACCCTACAAAAGGTGGCTTGCTCATCGGACTGGAGCTGCTACTGATTGACGAACAGGTATGGTCTATTTTATGAATACATAACACTGTTACCACTCTCTTAGTTTGATTATATCTACGGTCGTCGGTCGTCTCCATCTCCTGTTGTCATTTCCCCCCCCCCCCCCAATTATAGCTAATCAAAGAACGCCATCCTGATCTCCATACACTAAATTGTTATTTTTAAAACTGACCCAGGGAACCGTCATTCAAGGATTCATTGCACCCAACAGAATTGCACGCTATGAAGGCAAACTCAAACCAAACATCATCTACAGGCTCACCAATTTCTTTGCTACTCCTAACAAAACAATGTTCAGAGTTACAGACCACAAATTCACAATCTGCTTCACCGACTTAAGCATCCTCACTCAACACCCACAGCAGAGTCTACCAATTGACGTCCAGCGTTTCCGTTTTCATACATTCGAAGAATTTGATGCCAATGCAGACAAAAAATGCGATCTATACGGTATTCTCTATAACAAACAAACAGAACTATCTAACCTAATGCCTTCACATCATCTCCTATAACAATATGATGACCATCTTGACATGTGCAGATATTATTGGTCACCTAAAGCTCATTAATGGCCAGAATCTTCACGACCACCCAGTTTTAGAATCTGAGGGCAACCAAAAGAGGGGAGTATCAGTCCACCTGCAGCCTAGAGAGTAATCTAATTACTATACCCTTCTTGCCATCCAAACCTCTAATATGTAGTACAAATCTATGAACAACAAATTTAACACATCTATACATAACTAACAACTTACCAACACGTAGATATCTAACTTATTCCACATGCATAATTATTCTTTATTATTACCTTATTCAACATGCATAATAATTATTTTTCCCGTATCTCCAAAAGAAAGATAGATTCCACCTTATCTGAAGTCTCAGTCCAAGTCGTCTTCTTAATTGTCAGAAACTATTTTATTGACATGTATTTTATGGTGCTATATATTTATGTGCAGAGGACCAATTGTCAACATCTACCTCTGGGACAACATTGCCGCTGAGTTCCGCAAGAAACTTCAAGCAAGCGAAACACCTCCTGTAGTACTTTTGGTGACCACAGTCAACCCTAAGACACTTGGAGGTTAGAGTTCATGCGTTTAAAAAAGCTTCTATTACAATTCACACCTTAAAAACAGACATCCACTCAACTGCATCATGAAAAAACCTGCAGGAAAAATGTGTTTAACCTCTATGTCCTCTTCGAGAGTTTTCTGCAACGGTGACGCCGAGCAGACCACTGAATACCTAACTTGGTATGCTCCAGTTATCCCTAATTTTAAGTATCTCCGTCCACTTTCAAATTTACTATAACACTGACTACAATTCCAGACTACGTGATAATGCTAGCAACGTCAGTGTTAATGCATCTGAGATCACCAAGGTTGAAACTCTCACTATTGGTGAAATTTTCCAGTTCCTGCAAAAAAAACCAGCCCAGGTATTTTCACATCTCGGACTACCAACAATTAGTTTAATTAGAAAAGAATAGACGTTAGTTATTAATCCGTCCTCACCAATGTTAATAGCGTAAAGCAAACACCACATTCATATTTAATATCTCCCAGGATCTCAAATGTCTATTCAGTTTTAAACAACCACTAGACCACTAAGTCTTTGAGGGTTTATAGATTCCACTCTTTACATTCTGACATGGCAGCATCACTCGGCTACAACAAGTTCACCAATGCCGTACTTTCATACTAACTTCTCCTCATTTAAATATAACAGAAGGCAAACTTCCATTGCATAGCAACCATTGATGCTGTGGAACAACTTAAAAGCTGGTACTACATTGCCTGCACTACATGCAACACAAAAGCAATCCGAGGACCTACTTCATTAGTGTGCAACAAATGCAACAACCACAATGCTATTGGAGTAATCTAGTACGTACAGCAGATTCTCACTTACTATAATTTGTTAAATGTAATCAAATTGCTATTTTGACACACAGGTATCGGGTCGAGATATCCGTCTCCGACAATGACAACAAAGCCACGTTTGTTCTCCTCGATGATGCTGGAACTCAGCTAATTGGGAGAAAAGCTGCAGAGATAGTTGAAGACTACGTCGACGTAAGTAACTACATTTCTTAATCCAAAGTAAATAAAAAACATCACCAGACTGCATCTAGCTCATTTTTTGCAGGCTGTTGGGGTTGGCGGTGCTGGAGATAACATACCACTCCCAGAAAGCTTATATGATGCAATTGCCAAGACATACATATTCAAGGTGAAAGTGGATGAATACAACTTCAGTGCTGCTAGGCAAACTATCACTGTGACTAAGATTGTCCAGCCAGCTGATCTCCCCAAAATGCCTTCACCAAATACAAGAGCGGAGCTTGAAGACAAAAACAGCGACACACTGCCACAGACTAAGAGTACTAAGTGGGACCTCCAGATGAGTGACATGGCAACTAGCACCAACACCATTGCCTCCAGCGAAGAGAAAACACAAGGGAAGACTAGCCTTGGCAGTGAAGAAACCGATGAAAACAAGCGTCCCCGGAAGAATACTAAATACTAGGAACCAACACCATAAATTCCCAAAAATAATTAAGTGCACTTTCTTATAGTTATATTAATCTGAATATCAATGTCTGCACAGACCTGTTTTCTTCTTCTCCTTCAGTTATATATCGATTTGCAATTTATTTTTTAAAATTTAGAGTAATTATATGAATTTAAACTAACGACTACAACTCTCTATCACTTTTTATGATGGATGTATATCTATCTGCGTTCCATGATTTTTATAAAAGGTTTCCCATCATGATTGCAGGAAATATATTTAATATATAGCTAATCCGATTTTTGATTTATCAATTATTATTTTAAACGTTTGTATCTGTTTAAACCATTACGATAGCGTCAAGTTAGGGATCTACTAACTTAAATATTAAATTCCTTAATAAATTTAGTCACCAGAAGAACGAAACGTATTACCATTCCAACACTATCTCTGTCATTCTTTTTTGAAAAAGGATCCCAAATATCACCCTATAAACAGCACCAATCATTTGATTTGGAGATTCACTTTCAATACACGTTGACTAAAAACGTTAAAAAATATTTAAATGTATTATACCATAAATCAGGCAATACACGCCTATTAAACTGAACACAAATCCTATGAAAACAACCCCATAAAAAAATTAAAAAACACTACTACACAGACCTCCAAATAAACACCAGATTTCAGCACATACAAGAACACTATCTTTGAAGACTACATCATCTACACATTCACCACCTCCTACCAAAAACAACCGGTGAATGAGGAGGGAAAGAAATACGTTTACAAAATGAATCCAACTTTATATCTGCTCCACATGATTTCCACAACAAAAACTAATGATATGTATTGGCAAACTACCAGAAGGTGACAACTAAGCATAGAGGGACAAAATTCACAGCCATGCAGAAGCCAGAGAACCCGAAAACTAGAGGTCGACTATTAAACTTTTTACATGTATGAAATAAGGAAAACCAAACCTCAATTCCTATTCTGAACTACAGATACATCAACCAACTTAACACAACCACGGAGAAGAGGCCGCCCCCGGGATCTCAAAACAAGTCCGACAAACAAAATATTAGTACTCCAGGTCCCGAAGTAGATCCTCCACCACTTCAGCACCACCATGTTTTCGAAAATATTTCTCACCATTTTCTTAAAGCTTCATCTGATGACAATATAATAATATTAATTTTCAGCATTTTCTTTTTTTTTCAAATAACTATATTTCGACTTCTAAATTATGTTTGCATAAGTTACATTAATTTAATACACTACTACTCACCGTCACAGTTTAGAAAAAATATATATCTGCATTTCATGCATTTCGAGGAGATTACCTTTCATGTTTCAATAATCAATTAATGTAGCCAATCTTATATGGAATGGATTATTCGAATTTTTAAAAATTTGTAAATGTCGAAATCAATAGGTAAGCGCTAAGTAAGGAATTGGAATACTTAATTATTTATATACTTAAAGAAATTTTCGATACAGAAGACATAGACAGATTTTGATTTCACAACTATTTTTAAGCGTTATCAACTTATAAAACTGGATATGATGATATAAGAAAGAATCTAAGGATTTAGGGAGATCCACAAAATCATGAATTTTTGGGCCAGCAAGAAAGACCAAATTTTTAAATCCTAAAGTGTGAATATATAATGTCCCACATCGACAAAGTTACAAAAATTAGAAGGAAAAATTACACTATAAATAAAAGTCATTATCCCCTAATTTGTCTCATACCACATGAGATGTACAATTGAGCTTCGTTATAGTTCAATATTTTCTAAAAAAAAAAACATTATAAGCGTTCAAAACTGCTTATAAGATTAAAAAAAAACCAATTTTAAGCTTGAAAAAATCGATCTTCTTTTTTTAGGAAAAATCGATCTTATGCTTAAACAAAATTGATTCTCGGCAGAAAAGATCAATTAAGGGCATTATTTTCAACTCTAACGGCGTTCAAAGTTACATTATCTACAACACCTTCTCAAAAAATAAGGTCAAGGAGGAGGATAAAGTGTTTGTTTATGGGTGTACAAATATAATATTCTCTGGTCGCATGTTTGTCCAAAAACCATACTAATACTACTGATATGTCTTCCCAAACAAACAGGTTGGTAACAATTAATCACAGTGAGGATCAAATCCACTGCCATGCGTAAACCACATCATCATAACCACAAACAGGAAACTAAAGGTGAATTCAGTCAACCTCTTATAGATATCAAAAAAGACACCCCAACTTTCTATTCATATTTTTTGAATTTCAGATCCATCAAATGACTTACCACAAACGCGGAGAAGAGGACGGCCACCTGGTTCTCGAAACAAAACACACACAGAAAATATTAATACTGCAGGTAAGTCCCCCAAAATTGCATGGTGGAAGATAGTGGAGAATCTTAAAAAAAAAAAAGTAGTTGGGGGCATAATTTAATAAGCAAAAAAAATAAAAAGTTGGGGGCGAATCGCCTTTTATAGTTAATATATATATATATATATATATTTGTTTGAAAGGTAATATTATATTTTATTTTCATTAAAATAAACTGAAAACATAATATGGCTAAGAAAACTTTACAAACAAAAGAACTACTATAAATAAAGTGTAAGAAACTTAATTAAAGAGTTCTTCACACATTGGTTTCTTGCAAGATGTGATTCAATTAGTATGTAAACGTTGGTTACAACTTACAATCTTTTAGAAGAAAATTCCGCAAACAGGATTGAAATCGGGTTTGAACGAGAAATCTATCACATATATAGAAGACGACATCAATTAAAACCACAATGCAAAACAATACACCATTTCTTATACGCACAACACAAATACATGAAACTAACATCTACAACATCCTTTCGGTACAGAAAAAAACCCAATATTCAATCTTATTTATGCCAAATTAAAAAATGTACAACCACAATCACCCGAAACTGAATGGATTCTTAAATTAAAAACAGATCGTACTCATAATATAGATTACAAATTCAAATTTTACACAGGCCAAGTGAGAAGCATATGTGAAGGACCCCCATCTGCATCAAACCTATACAATTGTAAGTACTTCTTCGTAGTATAATTAAACTACATACAATACGCAAATATCTATTTAATATATAAGTCAACATTTCAATACCTTATTTAATCAAAAATATATACAACTCTTTCAGGTGGATGTGATATATGTGCTCTCTATGGTATAATACAATTACCTTCAAATCTACAACCACATTAAATATAAAAATTAGAGAATAACAATACCTTCTCTTCTGTAGTTCGACGCAAAAACGCACGAGCAATGAGAAAAGCAATTCTACTATCTAAACGTGCAACTCAAGAGCTAAAAGGTATCTCCAATAATTTAATACAATTATTTCCAAGCTATATTAACACATTCTCTTAAAAAAAAGTGTTAACAGCTTCAACTATGACGTCTATGACATCAGAACGCCAGAGATCAAATAACAGCTCCAAAGGTACAATATTACATCAAATAATATTTAAATTATGAAAGAGTATTACAAAAGATTTCAGAGTTGTGGGAAATTATTATTAATATATGTTTCTCGCTCAGAAATGAATTATTAACAATACGTCTGGAAAAATTATTATATTATTAACAATAACTAACAGAAAAAATCATAAAACACAGCTACCACTTCAAAGAACAAGGAAAACAACCTTCTGGACTGTACATTTTGTGGTGCGTTAGTTTGGGCCACGGAAAGCACAGGAAGAGATCGAAAAACCGGAGCTCTTACGTACACAATTTGTTGCAACCAAGGAAAAATAAAACTTCCGCCAGTAAAACAACCACCACCTGTTCTTGAAGACCTATTAAACTGTGCCTGGTTTCGAGAAGCACTTCGAATATACAACGCTGTTTTGGCATTCACATCCATTGGAGCGAAAATTGATTACAGCGTCGTATATAGACCAGGCCCATTCACATTTAGAATTCAAGGTCAAAACTATCACCGCATAGGCTCCCTTCTGCCAACGCCAGGTCAACCACCCAAATACCTCCAGCTTTACATCTTTGACACTAAAAATGAAGTCAGGAACCGCATAAACGCAGTAACCCAAAATGCAACAGATGGAAAACTAGATGAGGCAACAGTAACCCATCTAATTCAGATGATCGATGCACACAATTGTCTTGCCAAGATTTCTCGGAGAGCACGTGATATCTTCGAGTCTAACAGCGGAGAAGAATTCACAATCCGATTAATCTCACAGAAAGGAAAAGGAAAGCAATATGACACACCCGAAACCAATGAGGTCGCCGGTCTAATTGTTGGTGACATGTCTACTACCATTGGGGAAAGAGATGTCATCCTGCAGTTGCAATCAGGTCATCTACAAGAAATCAGAGATGATCACCCACTGTATATGAGCTTGCAATACCCGCTACTATTCCCTTATGGTGAGTATGGATTCCACACAGAAATACCTATGAAAGTAGATGACGTAAACCCAAGAAAAAGAGAGTTCTTGAGCATTCGTCAGTTTTACGCTTATCAAATCCAAACACATTTGAAAGAAGGAATGAAAATAGTAAAGGGAGGTCGCCTTCTTCATCAATACGTGGTAGATGCATATACTGCTATTGAACAAGAAAGACTTCGCTGGGCCAGAAACAATCAAGCCCAACTCAGAGCTGATCTTTACAATAATGTATGTGATGTTGTAGAAAAAGGTGACACAGATGCCAAAAAATAGGAAAACGATTTATCTTGCCACCAAGTTTTACTGGAGGACCTCGCTATCTGGTTGAAAAATATCATGACGCAATGGCAATCTGTAGACAGTATGTAAATCCAGATTTGTTTATCACAATGACAGCTAATCCAAATTGGAAAGAGATAAAAGACCATCTAGCAGCATATGGTGGTGCATCTCCCAATGATAGACCTGATATTCAGTGTCGCGTCTTCAAAATGAAGTTAGACAAGCTGTTGGAAAATTTAAAGAAAGGAACTTTCTTCAAACCATACACTGCTGGTATGCTGGCAATTCTAATAGCACAACATTCTTTATTTATATTTTTATATATATATATATATTATATAATCATAATAAATGATACATAATTATATAAAAGACATTGCCAATGGAACTAAAAACATTTCCTAACTTATTCTATATATTTTCCAGTTATCCACAGAATCGAATTCCAAAAAAGAGGTCTCCCACACGCTCATATACTAATGTGGTTTGGAAAGTCAACTAAAACACCATAACCTGAAGATGTTGATGCAATAATTTTGGCTGAACTCCCCTCTAAAGATAAAGATCCAGAAGGGTATGATCTGGTAGCAAAACACATGATGCATGGTCTGTGTGGATTAGACAGACCTCGATCCCCATGCATGGAGAAACAGGTTTGTACCAAAAAGTTTCCACGCCCTTATACTAATCGTACAACGATCGAGAAATCAGGATACATAATTTACCGTCGACGTCAATTTGATGAAGATTATGTCATGAAAGAGGGCACGAGGTTGGATAATAAATATGTTATCCCGCATAACATGAAGAGGGCACGAGGTTGGATAATAAATATGTTATCCCGCATAACATGGCTATTCTGAAAAAGTTTAAGGCACACATTAATGTTGAGTGGTGCAACAGAACAACTGCAATAAAGTACCTCTTCAAATACAATACTAAAGGAGTTGATAAGGCCACTGTAGTAATTGAGAAGGGAAATGATTCCGGTTCAAGTGTCGAGGGAAAAGGTACAACCATGAAACCGAGAAATGAGATACAAGAGTACCTAGATTGCCGGTACTTATCAGCACACGAAGCTATGTGGAGAACTTTTGGTTACCACATACACAAACGAAAGCCTTCCGTCCAAAAATTAATCATCCATTTGCCTGGCCAACAAAATGTCACCTACAAAGACACATACAATCTAGATAATGTTCTGCAGAGACCGGGAATTGATCAAACTATGCTCACAGAGTATTTTGAACTAAACAAAAGATCAGAAGAGGCCCGAAATTGGACATATGTTCAAATACCAGAATATTTTGTGTGGGATCAAGCATTGAAGATATGGACCGAGCGGAAAAAAGGAGAAGCCATTGGCCGATTAGTTACAATACATCCAAACTCAGGTGATCTATACTACTTAAGGATAATACTTAATGAGGTTAAAGGAGCACAAAGTTTTGAAGAACTACGAATAGTTAACAACTGCCTACATCTTGATTACAAAGCGGCTTGCTATGCAAAAGGATTGCTGGACAATGACAAAGAATGGCATGCTGCAATGGAAGAAACAAATACTTGGGCAACACCGTTTCAACTACGACAGATGTTTGTAACACTGCTCATATATTGCGAGGTTGGTAACCCTAAAGAACTCTGGAAGCGTTGTTGGAAAACATTAAGCGAGGACATCACATATAGGAAACAAGCTGTTTTCACACATAACAACCTAAACTTAGGTGATGTTGAGCTAGAGCAATACACATTGATAGAGGTGGAAAAGATTTTGCATCAGCACGAACGGACATTAAAAGAGTTTACAGGGATGCCCCAACCAGATCCAAACCTATTGAAAGAAGTAGGGAACACTCTATGGAAAGAAGAAATGAAATACAGTACCGCAGAACAGAATGACGAACATGTAGCCCTATTTAAACAGCTTAACCCAGAACAGAGAACAATATATGATGCAGTGATGGATTCAATGGAAAATCATCGTGGTAAGCTATTCTTCGTTTATGGACCTGGCGGGACAGGGAAAACATTTCTATATAGGACCATTATTTCAAAGATACGATCAACAAAAGGGATTGTATTGCCAGTGGCATCTTCAGGGATTGCAGCACTGCTCCTACCTGGTGGTAGAACGGCCCATTCACGGTTCAAGATTCCATTTGACGTTACTGGACAATCGGTGTGCCATATAATGCCAGGTACAATGCTTGCAGAACTAATCAAGAAAACCGATCTTATCATTTGGGATGAAGCACCAATGGCACATAGACATATTTTTGAGGCTTTAGACAGAACTTTGAAAGATATAATGGGTCATGACAATCCAGAAGCGAAGGAACAAACATTCGGAGGGAAAACAGTTCTTCTAGGAGGAGATTTCAGGCAGATATTACCAGCTATACCACAAGGTACTCGGGCAGACACGGTTATGGCATCTATTAGCGAATCATATCTGTGGGAGTCTTGCCAAAAGTATATTTTGAAGAAAAATATGAGACTTCAAGATTCAGATGGTGAATTTGCTAATTGGGTACTAAGAGTTGGGGACGGAGACGCCCCTACAATTCAAACCGATCATGACATTTCAGATGATGGGCAGATGGTGGTGGTTGACAACCATTTTTTAAGGGTATCCAGTGGAAACACACTTAAAGAAATCATTGACGCAGCATATGGCAATCATATTGTCTCGAAAACAAACAAAGAATACTACACAGAAAGAGCCATACTCACTCCACGAAATGAGACGGTTGATGAAATCAATAGATACATGATATCGCAAGTACAAGGGGTGTGCAAGGAGTATCTGAGTTCGGATAGCTTTGGCATAACAGATACAAAATCCCCACAGAACGAAACATTGTATGCTGTAGAATATCTAAACTCATTGGAGTTTCCTGGTTTGCCATCACATAAGATTTCTTTAAAAATTGGCGTACCCATCATGCTGCTGAGGAATATCAATCAAAAGAAAGGTTTGTGTAATGGAACAAGGCTTATCATAACATATATGGGTGATCGAGTTATTGAGGGTGAAATAGTAACTGGGAGTCATGTTAGTAAGAGAGTATTGCTACCAAGAATTATTTTATCCCCACCAGACACAAGGCACCCATTCACTCTAAGAAGAAGGCAATTCCCAATAAGAATCTGCTATGCTATGACGATCAATAAAAGCCAAGGACAAAGCTTAAAATCAGTTCTGTTATACTTACCCAAACCGGTGTTCACTCATGGGCAATTATATGTTGCTCAGTCAAGAGTAACAACAAAGAAAGGGCTAACCATCGTACAAGAAGAAGGTTCACCAAAAGACGCCGTTAAAAACATTGTATACAAGGAAATATACAATGGTCTCACAACCTAACAAGGTAAGTCAGTGAAACACCCAACCAAACAAAAAAAATCCATTATTTTTTTCCTAAACAGCAAATGACGATATATTCTTATACAAATCTTACTAACACTTAAAATTTATTATGCCCAACGATTAGGAAGAAAGAGATGACAAAGACATTGCTGTTTGCATTGCTCATCTTCAGCAAACATTACACTGGTTAGAATTTTCTATTTAGTCTTCTATATAAATTACTTATGATATTTGTTTATTCATTTAACTTACATCTCTATCATAGAAAAGAAATAACAGGAAAACAACGTTCGGCAAATGAGTGATTCTATGTCATCTTTAAAAGGATAGTCAAACTATTTAATACTTAATGTAAGTTTTTAATTCTCATCCAATACCAACATTAATAAATTAGAACATGAATAAAACTAAAACTGTGATTTTTCTATACAGGTAGCTTCATGCGGATAACACCTTCCAAACCAGGAGTTCCTGAACCAGTTCTTACAACATTTTAACTACTTCTTCTCTTTTACGTTTAGTTGTATCAAATTACAACCAGTTTATTATACTATACACTTTCTCCTCAGTTATTTATAGACGTTGGATATGGAATTTCACCATTGAACTAACCATTTCGGTTTTTGATATTTTTCTAATTTGTCAACTGTCCATTTTAATTTGCGTTAAATTTAAATACAATGAAAAATTTATACGTAACCCAAATTGCTCAAACAAAAAATGAAGATAAAATTACTAAAGGGAAAACAGCAGCTACATTCAACTACCGCAACAAGACTTTTATTTGATGAAGCGGTGAACATTTTCTGATAGAAATGAAAAAAGGGAAAATTATATCATTATGCCGCAGATGATGTAATGAATCTAATTACTAAACTAAACCTCCATTGTTAACAACCTGTTATGTTATAGGCAAAAACATAGACATGGAAAAATAAAATAATATATACCAAAAAATATTAAACATATTTACAAACAAAAATAAAATAAAATAAAAAATCAATACGAAACAACCTGGGCGTAACCCGGGGCAATGCCTAGTTTATATAAAAGGGATTGATTTTCTGGTCTCTCAGATATGCCACATCAGTAGAAATAATACACAAAATAATCAGCCAATGAGAACATTTGAAAGTCACATATCACTAAAAAAACTTTAATTACGTTAAAAGAGTTATTGCAGAGTTATGAAATCGGGCCACCAAACACAGTAATACTGAAAATTGAATAGAAAGAAACACATTATATAGAGACCCAAAACAAAACAATAGCCCAAAACGAAATCAAGAATACATTTGAGCTTTCCCCCCTTTCTCTGCTTTCCTCATACCCTAAAATAAATTCACCGTAACAGTTTCCCCTCAAACGATTCATCTTCATCCCATCTCCAAATCAGATTCAACGAAAGGAAAGCTCAAACCATAAGTCGTTACAAAATACCTTCAAACTTAATTTCTCTAACAAAGTAGCTTCACACTTAAATCACCATTCAAACCTCAATCCACGATGGAGAATCTCAAACATCAATCGTTCTTAATAACTTTTACAACTCATTTCTACCCATCATATACTATCACAGCCATGGCATCCTCTGAAACTGTTGGAGTAGTTAGAAGAACAAAGAGGTAATCAAACATACATGATGGCTAATGATATGTTTTGTGTTTTGAATTTTTTGATATATTATCTTCTGTGCAAGCATTATTCGTCAGAACTTAAAATATTGTCATCACAATTTCTTCACATAATTGTCAACACTTTTTTTGTCCAGTTTTGAAAACCCAATCGGCAACTGTCAACACAAATCCAGAAGACCAATTCCAACTTCCAAGGCTTTCCCTCTGTGTAGTCTTAATTATTTTTGGATCTGTGCTGTTCGATCAAGCTATTGTAAGGTCAAAAATTGTGTTTTCGTATTCTCATATTCCAATTTTACAGATTTATTGGCGTCTATTTGAGATAGAATTGAGGCCAAAGATTCTATGTCTGACCTTATTTTCAATGTGAAGCAGTACTATTTCATCCATAATCTGTTATTATGAGTCTCCTTTACCTCTGGGTAAGTTGAAAACAGGCGGCTACGATTCAGTAGCTAGGTTATTGGCTTTAATTTCTTCACATAATTGAACAATATTGTCATCTATTGCTCTACTTTGGAATCGAATTATCAACCGTCAAAGTAAATCTGAATATGTTCCTTACTTATTTGTGCAGGTTTTCCGTATCAGATTGTTCTCATGGTGCTTCAAATCTCTACACTACAACTAAGTCACTGCTCTAATCAAAGAGTTCTGCTTTAAATCTCTGATCATTCAATCTTCTAGCCAGTTTCCAATCTCTAGAGAGGCAGCAAAGCAAGAGCACGTGATGAACGATGGAACCAGCGGACGCCATCAAGATCTGCGGTTAGATATTTGGATCTATGATGATTTATTTCAGTTTTAATCTTTTCCATGTCTCTGTTTATGTGATTTGATTTCTCATTACATTTGATCGGTAATGCAGTAGGAAAGACAAACTACCCTATTAAATTAATTGGTTATACTAACCTATATGGTTTTCTATTACCATATGCCTTTAGAAGCGACTAAGAAGATGTAAGATTTCGTCTACAAAACGTGTAAGGTGGATTATATTATTTGGTTTTCGTTAGTTTTAGCCAGATCGGTGTGAGTAATTAAAATTAGCTCATGTAGTCTTAATTTTCAAATAAATATCTAATACAAAACTATGAGAGGCTTTGTGATACCAAAATGGACATGAAAAAATACTTATGGTCTTCACGATCCAGACAAATAAGTTTCAAGGTAATTACATCTCATGTGGAGTATATTACACGAAATTACATGTTTTATAATGTTTTTGCTTCTACATTATTTCATTATGCTTCGATATAAAATGTTTTATTTAGAAAATTGAACAAACAAACGTTATAGTCAAGTGATATATTGTGTATTGATCTTTCTCCTCTTTTAAGCCACATGATATATTAAAGGGGCCTTGATCAAATATCATTACATGGTCAAGTAAGTGAAACTCAAGACGAAAATAACAAAAACGAAGAAATACTGCTATGGTTACGATGATTAAAAAAACGTTTTAGGTACAGGTCATCATACTAAGCAGCTAAAGTCCATTAGAAACATGAATACGTGCCACTTTTCTGCCTCATGATTTAAACCATTTGCAGAGAAATGACTTATATAGTAAAGTAAATGCTGGCTCATTTTTTGGATGGCAGAAGTTTGAGTTGGTTTGCTCTGATTTAGTTTGGTGTGCTTTTGGTTTTTGTTCAATTTTTTTAGTATTGCAGCATCAATTTTTGTGTGTTGGGTTTACATTTTTTACTTATGATTACCTAATTGGTCTATCATTTTTAAGCTACACGCTATTATCTACAGACAGATTAGTAATTTGTCAAAAAATCATGATAAGGGAAAGTATTATTTTTATAGTTTCTAATGGTATATACTACTGAAGTTGTTAACTCCACAAAATATTTGCCATAACTACAACATTTTATATTTATAATGAACATCTAAAAAATACATTAATATAAAAACCTTAAGGAAAAAAAAATTGGTTATACTTTCTAATAATTTTGCATTCATCTAATGATATGCATTTCTATAATACGCAAGTATGAACACACTATACATATATGTGTTGTATATACTTAAAATACACATTATAACTTAACACTAATTTCAAACTTAAACAAATCAATGAAAAACCCGGGCATAGCCCGCGGCCAACCCTAGTTTCAATAATAATATAGAGATATACTCTATTAAATGAGAAACAAAGATTTTCCATATTTTTTTCAATAAATTTGAATGACAACTATATTTTTTCCTATTCTAATTATTCTTTGTTATTTGTAATGGCATATCATGTAATATTTTATAAAAGAAATGTTATTTTTTAAAATGTCTAATTAAATAATAATATAGAGATTTTGTTTTTATAGGTCAACTTGATTATATTCAAAGTATTTTCCAAATTTACTCTTTACCTGAAAAGATAAATTATTTTTGTTTTTTAGATTACCCTTATTTTAATCAATCATAGATATTAACTTGATACATATTTGTATAGTCAGTGAAAAAAGATAATTTTTATGATATATAAATAATACGAAAACTGAGATAACAAAAAAATTGATGTTTTTTTTTCTTCAAAAATTCTCAAGTAAATAAGCCTATTGGGCCCAGACATGGATAGAAAAGTCCATAACATAATTCCAATGTGTAATTAACTAATTTCTACGTAATTTCTTTCTATGATTACAATGGAACAACATCGACTTTGCGTTAGAGCTTTAAGTGTATAAGTCAGGCAATGGGGATCGGTGGATTCTTCTCTTGATTTCATAATCACGTGAAAAATTTCCTTGATTTGGGAAGTGCGATTATGTTGCTTCCATGGCAGCTTCTTTAACAACAGAGGCGGAGAATTCATCGTCTCGGTCTCTGTGGGAGTATGATGTCTTCCTCAGTTTCAGAGGAAAGGATGTTCAGAAAACACTCATGAGCCATTTAAACGATGTTCTCAACGAAGAAGGAATCAAAACTTTCCATGAAGACAGAGATCTTCAGAGAGGTGATATCATCTGGGAAGCACTCGAGGAAGCGATAAACCAGTCGCGATTCGCAGTCGTCGTGATTTCAGAGGGATACACTAACTCTCAATGGTGCTTGAGAGAGCTTTCGTTTATGGTCGAATTAGCTGAGAAAAGAAACAACTCAAATGGACCCCTATATTCTATGAAATCGACTCGTCAAACTTGAAGAGCCGAACCGGGTGTTTCAGCAAAGCTTTTGAGAAGCATGAGCTGAGATTTGGTAAGGAGACAGTGAGTAGATGGAGAAGTGCTTTGGCTATAGTTGGTAACATCTCTGGATGGGATTCCATATGCAGATACATTGTCTTGCTTTCTTGAAACTATAGGACAAAGAGTTTTGAAACTACGATGATAGAATTTATATAGTATCTCT